TAGGAAGTGTTATAAAATGTGCAAATTATATTTTTTATGAAAATGTCAAAATAATTAAAACTAAACATAAAAATATAATGTCCAAAATACAGATACTAATACAATATACATAAAGATAAAAGAAAAAAATATATATATTAATATATAATATGTACTTGAATACCTAAACAAATAAAATTACATTTATAATAAATATATAATACATAAATATATACTAAATCAAACAATAAATACTAAAGATATATATACAATGATGAATACAAATGTTTGTACCGTGCGAGGACTGACATAGAACTCGCGAACATCGAAAGTAAGTAAGTTTTTCGGACTACTCTAATGCTGTTGGCCGCAGCTGGCCTTTAGGTTGTAGAGAGTATTATCTATGTTATTTCATACATAATATACGTTTGCTGGAGGAATATTGCAATGTTTAATTTGTTTTAATTGAAATAAAAAGAATGTTTAGAATATGTTGTACACAGATTTTAATTACGCCACGGAATGTTCGAGAAGGAGTGCAAAATTGTATATAAAACAACATCGATGTTCTGTGCCTGACGTTCCAAATTTGAGATTTTATAATTTTATTTTTAAATATATTAAATGGCTATATGCAAACGCAAATAATATATGTATTTACCTATATATATTTTTTTTAATTATATTATGTTTTTATATTTCATTAATTAATGTCATGTCAATTATTTAATCTATATTGCATCTCCGACGTGTATTACAAGAAATATAATTTACAGAATAATGAATAAGTACTAAAAGCCGGCCTTATCGCTAAATCAATCACTATTAGTATTAATTTTACTATTATATTTGTGCGTGGAAAACTATATTTTCTAATCAAGGTTTCAGATGAAGGATGAGATAAAGCATATTATTCTAAAGTTTCATTAATATCCGTTCAGTAGTTTTTGCGTGAAAGAGTAACAAACATCCAACGGGTGGTTTGGATGTTTGTTCTACACTCACAAACTTATCCGATTACAATATCAGTAAGTTTGAAATACAACATTTATATTACTTTGAATCACAACACTTGAGTGGAGTAATGGGCATATTGTCCGTAAGTGATGTTTACTATTTACCATCAGGTGGCAATTCAGCTTGTTTCCTATTACAAGTTGCAAGTTGTGTTCTTAGTAAACTCAAATCATATATTTTACTTTCTTCTTTTATTTGCAAAAACAATTGTCGAAAAAAGTTTTTTTTTAACAAAAAGTATCCAAGTTCCAAGAAGTACAAAATTTCAGGACGATCGGTTCAGTAGTGTTTGCGTGAAAGACTAACAAACATCCAGATATACAAACTTTTGCATTTATAATATACTCATATCATTATATATATAAACCTTCCTCTTGAATCACTCTATCTATTAAAATATCTTTATTCATTCTAGGTCTGAGCAGTTATGATGTTACTCTACCGTCAGTTCGAAGTGTTTGAGCTAAAAAGAACTGATAAGAAACCCAGCCCTTATTCTTTCCAAATGAGCTTCTACTAACAAATATGTATTTTTAATTCAATTAGGGAAAATGTAGAGACCACCAGTACATGCTATTGCATTTTTGTTAAAAGGAAATAATTTTGTCAGTAGCCGTAACTCGAACAGACCAGTTCCCACATGAGTTTCCACATCCGTTCACGAGTATGATGGATGAACGAGCCATCATTCAGAACTTAAATAAAAGAACTTGTTTCAATACCGTTGACAGTGATTGATGATTTATTAGCTATAACTTTATCAAGGATTATGACAATGTTGCAAATACGTAATAACAACATACGATTAAAATATACACATTAGAAATTGTGTTTTGGCTTTGTGTTATGAAAGATTGTTAGATAAAAAAAATTATAGCACGTTCCCGTAGACAAACTTATTGGAATAAATATTATTAAAAAGAATTTATATAGTAATCTATACAAATTCTACAACAAATGTAAGTAATTTAAAAGTACAGTGCCGATAATCGAAATATTAATAATCTACCAATGAGGTTAAATGTTACGAGGTAGTGTTGACTTTAAGCATAATTTGATACCCCATATTTACATTTAAATTACTATAGATATAGATTATTACAAATAAAATTGCCTTAAATATTCAAGGAAACGCACCTCAAGATGTCAAATTAAAATAGCATAAATTAATTTTGTATATATAATATACAAATATTATAAAATCGGTATATCGTATTTTATGTGTGCATACAAATACTTTCTAAATGGTATATGAACCTATTTAAGTTTGTTATTGTCAATTTTTGTTTACTTTATTAGTTGTAGTTTAAAACTTAACTTAATATGCTATCGTCGTCGTTGATCTCATATTGTATTATTTTACTGATAAAGGCTATAACAGAATAGCAGAGAGGGTGGACTCACTGTTCCCAATGAGTTATAGACCGTTTTGTCTCATTCATTAGTTTTAAATTATATTATTCTATGGGCAACAGTTGTATTGTGTGAAAAGTTTTTGTTTTGAGACAAATAAAGTTTATTATTATTATTATTTAAATAAGAGAGAACTACATGGCTGCAGACTCACGTCGACAGCAGTTTTGCAGGACAATGATGATGAATATTGTAAATTGAGAATAAAGCTATTTATCTATCTATAGTTCCAGTCCTAACCACCAGTCATATACTTAATATCCGAATATCTTAATTTTTCTAAGAATCAAAATAAACTTAAGAATCTTTTCAAAGATTACAAAAGTACAGAACAAATTAAAGATTTTTAACAAAAAACAAAACGAAATAATTTAATCGACAGCCGAAACGGAAACGAATCTTACAACGAATTGATAGTCTGTGCTTAAAATGTGCGTAACCATTCAGACACAATCTACGATGCAATTTAATCTCAAATGTTATGCTATTAATGACATTCTCATTATATTCAATCTGCAGACAAATCGATTAGATTGTCATAACAATTAATGAGTTTTCTGATTATCCAAATATGATTATATTCATCATTCACCCAATTTTACGTTTCATTTTTTACCGACTGCCAAAAAAAGGTTGTCATATTAGCAATTTTATCAAATTTAATACTAATAATAATATCATTAATATGAAGTAAACAAACATAATACATGTGTTGTTGTCGTAAACAAAAATAATAGGTACATACGCGATTCAAATCAAAACCCAACTGATTTCGATATATTAATTTTTCCTAAAAGTACCAATTTAAATTTTGCAATGCTTCCTACATGCTTCTTTTTTGTGGAACAAAACGATTAATTAAACATTATAAATTTATTAGTAAATACAGACAACCTTCAAGATAGCAATTAAGATTAAGAATATAATTTGTTGCGTCTTGAACGGCGTATGTACGACACTAAAATCAGGGGCGATATTGGAGGATAGTGGGTATAAAATCAGCTTCTATTTTGCTCACACAAGGCGTTTCAGGCAACGATCTAAGGCGCTTCCACCACTGTTCCCATCTAGGCAGCAATCTAGGCCCTGTCTTTTATTATTCCAATATAGCCTAGATTTGAACCTTTCTACCACAGTTACGTTCTAATCAGTGATCTGTGCTTTCCACAATTGCTCCGATATTGGCTTTCATTTTAGTGTAGTGTGTATTATCAACAGAGTTTTCACTTAATATTTACTACTTTGTATAAAGTCGTTTATATGTATATCCGTCTCATTTATTTACACCAGCCAACGGTTAAGATTATAAATGTGAGTAAATTTAGACAGACCTTCCAGTTACTTAAAAAAAATAAATATATACTTTGTATAAAGTCGTCTATATGTATATCCGTCTCATTTATTTACACCAGCCAACGGTTAAGATTATAAATATGAGTAAATTTAGACAGTCCTTCCAGTTTTACTACTTTGTATAAAGTCGTTTATATGTATATCCGTCTCATTTATTTACACCACCCAACGGTTAAGATTATAAATGTGAGTAAATTTAGGCAGACCTTCCAGTTACTTAGAAAAAAAGAAATATCTACTTTGTATAAAGTCGTCTATATGTATATCCGTCTCATTTATTTACACCACCCAACGGTTAAGATTATAAATGTGAGTATTTAGGCAGATCTTCCAGTTACTTAAAAAAAAAGACTATTACAACTATATTAGGTAGCAACTAAAGTCATCTACCACAAAATTAACCGGTTAAACAGCATTATTGTACTGGATACCAAAACATAGAATATCAGATCTAGTAACGCGTGGAATTATGAAGTTTTTCTCTCAAATGAAATGTTTGTGTACCCATTAAGGAAACAAAATTAATATTAACTATTGTGCTGAAGTATGATTAAGTTTTAGGATAATATTTTTTGTACATATAAATATATATATTTTTTGAAACGAATCTGTAATTCACAATATTTGTGGTTTAAAACTGTTATTATCCATGAAGTCCGTACTTGATTGAAGCAGATTGAAGAAGAAATTAATTGTAATAGGCATAATAAGTCAAAACCCAGGTACAATACTTACTCATAAAACGGATCTTATTTTGATCATGAGACAAAATGGAAAACATAAAATATACTATCGAAATTAAAAAAAAAATCAATTTTCCCAAATTTAAAGACTTTGTTTTGCTTCTTGGGCAAATTTGTTTATTTTCATGCAGACTATCAGTGACTTTCGATTTGGTATATACCTAATATGTATATTAGTACTAAACTTTTATGATATATATACACATGTTTGTAATCGCATATATCATTTTTCAGATTTTTATTAATAATATTGTCAATCCTGTGAACTTCGTGTTAAATGATGTTAATAGTATTAAAGTTCAGTTGATTTTTCCAGGCGAAAAACGTTTAAGCACAATTTATCTTTTCTAATCAACAAATGAGTGATTGATCACGTCTAAATCAACTATATCAAATAATCTTGATAATGAACTTAACAAAAGCGAACCACGTGTGTCTATTAAAAACAGTAGTGGCTCGTAGTTAACACTGTACAGTAACGCTGCAGTTTCTACAATGTATAAGGCGTTGCTGTTTGCTTTATTTGCGACGGTGGCGGTAGCCAGGAAGTCTCCTAATGCTGATTTTGCTGAGGAGTTCCTGAGAAGCAGTGGCAGATATTCGACCGATGTGATCGAAGATGCACTTCTTGATGTCGTAAGTGCTTTTACATTACAATACCTAATACCTTCACGACTAGTGTTGCAAGGGTTGGGGTAGTCAGAATCACTAGAGTAAATGTTTACTAACATTGTAATCGTTACTTATTTTCATTTACATTCAATCAAGCAAAAATGTATGATTTTAATGTACGAAACATATTTATTACATTGTTTTGTTTTTAGAATCCATACTAATATAACCTGTATAGACAGATATCGACACTATTAAATCTATATGTTTGCAACCTTTTTATAACTCAATGGCTGACGGGAGTTTTTTTTTCTGTGAAGATCACGAGGAGGATTTTATGTGACTCTGTCGGTCGCCTCTGAACACATTCATTTTCATTGTCATAATATTAACCCTACAAAACAGTTACAGCTGACGACAGAAATCGTCGAGAATCATCGAGAAACATTCTGTTAATTTTCGACACACTTGTTTTTGAAATTTTAGTGTTGTTTTAATTTATTATAACTAATAATATTATGAAGGAAAGAACATTTTTAGTGGCATGTTTATTCATAATTTTTATCACTCTGTAGGTAATAATAAATCTTATTAGAGGCTGATTTTACAAGTTGTTTAATCAATGTTTACTTAAAATTACTTGAAAGTAACAAAAATTATAACAAAAACGCCGTCGACTTCTACATATAACACAATATTGTAAGAAATAATGTCAATTTGGCATTAAAGCTAGTCAAAAAGAAAAAGTTGAATAGAAATATTTCACTAATAATACAACCTTACATAATACTCCAAAAGGTACTATAATAAGTATATTCTATAGATACTGTAATAAATCTATTGGTTTAAATATTATTTTAAATAAATCTCGATAATCATTCAGTATAACTACAATTTCAAAACATAATATTTGAATTCATTTGTTAGCCAAACACGAATACAAATATTTTTAGTTTCTTAAATTACAAAATTCAATAAGAGTATATTGTTGCGTTGTTGTAATAATGTTTTGAAATAAAATAATCTTATAAATTCGAATGTATAGTGGGAAATATCATCTCACTTTCGGATACCTTACTTTATAGGTACCATAAATCTAAGTGTATACAAAAGTGCTTCAATGTAAGTTACTTTGAATAAACGATTTTCTATTCTATTCAATTTAAGATACGAAAGCATTGTTGTGGCTAATTATACTAATAAAACTCATAACACAACTGAACACTCTCAATAATCTTTTTTAAAAATAATATCTGCAAATTACAAATCGCCCAACTTAATATTAAACTTAGCACATAAAACTAAAATATTGTTTATATATTTTAGTTTTATGGTTCTGGATACAAGTTCTTTTCAAGGCCTAACCTTAACAAGTACCTTAATTAAATATTACAATACGCATATTAAATAAGTCATAATCAACAAACGTCAATACTTTCAAATTTTACAAACAGAATACCTACAACAAACTTTTATCTTCTTCTTTTGGCAAGAGGTTAGTTACCACAAAGTTATTAAAATACTCACAATTTAAATTTTCGTTGTGTTCGAAATTTGAAATAAATATTGTGATATTTTGTCTATCTGAAGCATTTATTTGCCAGTATTCGGTTAATATATTTTATGATAGTTTTATTTTAGTAAAAAATTCTCATTGAAATACTTAATTGTTTTGGAAAAACTATCATGTGGAAAGATTTTGTTTTTTCTTAATATTAGTTTATCGTTAAATATAGATTAAGAAGAAGAATAATAGTCTATTAAAAAATCGTATTGATTTTTGTATTCCCGCCAAATTTTCAGTGCTACTCCATATTAAACAAACTACAAATTGGCGCCAATTCTTATCTTGGTGTAATTTTATACTTTCAACGTAAGAATACATAAATACAGAAATTTTAATTTATTGATTAATTTTTTTATTTATGTAACTAGAAAATACAAAAAAAATCAGTGAAATCAAAAAGGAACTTCGAACACTACTTCGTGTTCGAAGTTCCTTTTTCATTTCCGTACAAAACGATAGTCGTCGGTAATCGCCACAGATTATTAAAGTATCATGGCGCTTCTTTCTGAAATGATAGCTGTATGTATTGACTGTTAATACTGTATCAGTACTTAAAGATTAGATACCTTGTTCTTAGATTAAAACAAAAAAAAAGCGAAATACGGAGAAATACAAGAGTATAAAAGAAATAAGATCAAGAGAAATAAAATCCAAAATTATCCTATATCAAATCCTATAGTTTCCCAAAACTTTGATGTTAGCAAATGCACCCTGCATTTGCCATCAATCAAAGTTCCAAACCATTACAAAAGAAAAAAAAAGGAAATATGTATTACCCCAAATGAATAAGATAAGAGCTAAGTTTAGCTTTAGTTCTAGATCTTATATTACTATTTTGGCTTGGTTTAGAACTAGAGAGTTTTGTATGAAATGTATATATTTAGTTATCCATACTCCTTACTAATTTTATAAATGCGAAAGTAACTCTGTCTGTCTGTCTCGCTTTCACGTCAAAACTACTAAACCGATTTAAATGAAATTTGGTACACAGATAGTCTAGACCCTGAGAAAGGACATAGGCTACTTTTTAATGTGAAAAGGAGTTGATAAGAGTTAAAAGAGGGGATGAAAGGTTGTATGGAAAATCGTCATTTTTAACCTAGCTTGAAACTTATTTGATTAAAAACAAATAAATATGACGTTCAAAGTTTGTACAAATGTTACCCTTAATGGGGTAAATCGTAATGGGGTTCACTTTCTTTGCCTTTTTTGGGTTAGATTATTGAATATTTTTTCTTTGTTTGGTCGAGGTCACACGGTCGATGTCGCGGACACAGCTAGTATATAATAATATAATCTGAAACATATATTCTAAGTTGATGTTTCATAGTTAATATACTATTTGGAATTTTTAGTAATTCTCTATTAATTCCACAACAGTTGATTATCTGATTGATAACGAACCTTGAATGGACGGAAATGACGCACTTATCAGTTTCAGGTATTAATGATAATAACAAATGACAAATTAATAATAATAATGTGATAACAACATAGATATTCTTGTTTATAAACATTTATAAATATTTTAATAGTTCCGTTACGATAGATAAATAAATAGATAATGCATTTCGCGGATTTTGATTAAAACTCATAACGATTGCTTATCCTATTTATGTTTTAAACGTTAAAACTTGTTAAACGTAATTCACATATTTTTGACTTGGTTATTGATTTGAGGTTCAATTCCATTGGTAGCGCGATGGTAATCACCTCACCATTGTAGCGTTATACCTTTATGATGTGATGTGGTGTTGCTATTATACATATAAATAAAATTGGAGCATCTGTTTGTAACATTGAAATAACAGTTTTTTACTACATGCATATGAATATAAAAACGGTACATACACCAAAATAACATTTATAACACAAAAAATGTATAAATGTAGTTTAAATTGATAGTTTCATTTTTATATTCCGTATTAAATCGTTTTTAATTTGTATAGTATTTCATACTTTGCGTAGTTATACGACCTTGAATAACAAATAAAAACAAACAAATAAATTATCAAATAAGTTATTTGTTAGTAAACAAACAAGTTATCAGGTAATTTATGCTTATATTTGTTATTTATTTACGTTTAAGTGCACGTAATAGTAGGGTTGCACTTAATTTACTATATTTAATTCACTGAACAAAATAAAAATATTGCCTGATTGCCCCAGAAGGGAGAATCGGGTATCGAACCCGCAATCAACAGAAATAAAGTCACTAAAGCGGCCTATATCCATGAACAACACTAAGTATAACATATTATTATATTACATTACTGGCCCAGACCCAGTGATATAACTCAGAGGATTTAGAAGTCAGCTCTTATACTGTAAATTCACTGCCTAATTTTTTGCTTTACGTTTTAACGTTGTTTTGTTCCTGTTCTTTTATTTTTTGTTGTTTGTTTTATATTGCTTTGTTAGTCGTTGTTTATTCTAACTAACATCTTCTTTTACTTATAAAATCAATATGTCACTATAATAATATCTTATATATAAAATTCTCGTGTCACAGTTTTCGTTCCCATACTCCTCCGAAACGGCTTGACCGATTCTCATGAAATTTTGTGAGCGTATTGAGTAGGTCTGAGAATCGGCCAACATCTATTTTTCATCCCCCTAAATGTTAGGGGTAGTCTAGTTTATTTTAAGGCAAAACCACGTTTGCCGCGACAGCTAGTAATATATAAATATAACAATCCTTTTCAAACCCTGCTGAAGCGAGCGTAAACCACAGACGCAAACGCTGAAGCATACAGAGTAACTAAAACTTCTCGAATTAAAAAAACACGCAACAGCTTGGGTAGTGGATTGGTTATTCCATTGCTAGCAATCTCAGGTCTACCTCCACGCCTTCTGGTTCCCCCTGGAAATCATCGTGATAAATTCTTAGTGAATTTATCATGATGTGCCAACTGACCTGACCTCAAGCTCATCTTATCATCCACTGGTGTCCTGCCAGCATAAACCGTTAGCGCAGGCGGAAGCATCATTTCATTATCATCCTTTAAAAAAAAACCGCAAAAGCGGGGGCGCGGGGGAGAGAGGATTGTTAGTAATGTGGACTGATGATCTCATTGCTAGCAATGTACTATGTCAGGTCGACCTCCACGCGGTTCCCCCTGGAAACCATCCTGATAAATTCCCGGTGAATTTGTCACGTTGGGCTAACTGTGATCTGACTTCATGTCCATCTTATCATCCTCCACTGGTGCCCCGTCAGCGTATACCGTTAGCGCAGGCGGGTGCATCATTCCATTATCATATACTGAAAAAACCGCAACAGCGTATAAAGCAAGCTGCTGACAGCTGCAATAGACTAAGGTTCACACGGTTTCTACAATCTACTTCAACCATTACAAACAAGCAAACATATAAAAAGTGAAATCTTCATTACTCCTAAATTTTAATTTTGTTTTGTTCTAGCCGGATTTAATCAGGAAATACCGTTACCCAGTGGAAGTTTACAAATTGGTTACGAAAGATCAATATGTGCTGGAACTACACAGAATCCCCCATGGCAGAGACCAGACAGGGACCCCGGACCCTAACAGACCAGTTGTATTCATCATGCACGGCCTTTTGTCGTCTTCAGCTGAATTTGTGGTATTAGGCCCAGGAAGGGCTCTAGGTAAGAATCCTTTTTACGAACTTAAGATATTTCACCTAACTGAAATAACCTAAGACTGATCAATGTACCTATATAAAAAAAACAACTACACTGTAGTACGTATGCTCTCAGTTAGTTTGTAGTTAAGATTAAGTGCCTATATGTAAGAAATATGTGTATAAAATCCAGATTGAAATAAGCTTGAAAAATATCCGGGGAAACAGTATGAAAAAAAAAACCTAAGACTAAACAGAACTCGTGATATGGGTGCTAGGTAACTAATACATTTTTTTGTAAATACATATATGATATATAGAAAATATCTAAACAGCTACAAATAATCATACTCGTAAAAATAAATGTTTGTATTGTGCGAGGAATCTAACCAGCGACCATCAGAAGTAAAGTGTCTTAAATTATACACACGCATAGGAAAAAACACCAGTAATAAGGTAAATGTAATGTACAAGGGTGAGCTTATCTGTAAAAAGAGATTTCTTCCAGCAGACATAGAAAGTGTTATAGGACAATATGTTCACAAGATCAGCCATACATACGTATACATATAGTAGATATATATAATTTTTTATGGATAAAAATGGTATGGTCCACCCATGGTGCTCTAACGGTTTACCCTGGCGGGGCACCAGTGGAAGATGTTAAGATGAGCATGAGGTCAGGTCAGTTAACCCATCGTGACAAATTCACCAGGAATTTATCGCGATGGTTTCCAGGGGGAACCGCGTAGAGGTCAACGTCACTTGGTACATTGCTAGCAATGTAGAATTAATTCACATTATTAACGTTCCTTTTACCCCTTGTGTTAGATATAATATATATTATTACCAATTAAAATAAATATATAATTACAGCTTATATTCTTGCCGATGCCGGCTTCGACGTATGGATGGGCAATGCCCGCGGAAACTATTACTCAAGGGAGAACCTCGTCCTCGACCCCGATGCACGCTTCAACGGCGATTTCTGGCATTTCAGCTGGGATGAAATCGGCGATATCGATCTACCCACCTTCATTGATTACATCCTGGAGAAAACCGGCAAGTCCAGTTTGCATTACGTCGGACACTCGCAGGGTGGTACGTCGTTCCTCGTTCTGAACTCTCTGAGACCCGAGTACAATGAGAAATTCATTTCGTTCCAAGCTCTGGCGCCTGCAGCCTTTTTCTTGTATAATGAAATGGATTTACTGCTCACGTTGGGACCATATGAGGGGCCTCTCGATGTAAGTATTTTTTTATTAATTTTATATAATATTAATAATAGCAATACCCCTGGACAATTCACACAACGTCTATTCAAGCTAAGTAGAGCTAGTGTTATTTGTACTAGACAACTGATATAAATACTTAGATACATATTTCTTTGTAAATACATACATAATATATGTATATAGAAAACACCCAGACCGATACAAACAATCATACTTATTAATACAAATGTTTGTACCGTGTGAGCAGGAATCGAACTCGCGACCATCAGAAGTAAAGTGGTATGCTAGACCAGTGGTTCCCAATTAGTTTTTGCTGCATACTACTTCAAAAAAGACCTCAAACCTTGCGTATCCCTTATTGTAGCAATTATACTAATATTACAAATGTGACAGTTTGTGAGTGTGTGTGTATGTTTGATTTACTGATAGCCGTACGTACCCCTTGATGCAACTTCACGTACCCCTGGGGGTACGCGTACCACTAATTTGGAAACACCGAGCTAGACCATCGAGACTTTAACAGCATTAAGAATATTTATTTATTTATTCATTTATTTCAGGCAACTAGGCCCATATTATAAATACCTTATAGACTAACATACATATAATATAATATTTAAAAACTAATACAATAATATTGTCTGTGTGATCACGGCACTGAAGACGGCAATCTGCCACGGTAGCGCCGATACACCACACCTTTCGGCCAGTAGTCGAATATGACGTTATCATTTGTCATTCCAGAAAACTAAGATACCATTCCCTTTACCCCATAATTTTGACTACCTAATCTGACCCTACAACCTAAACAGCTTCCAAACTAAGCTTGGCGGCTGAAATATGCGAGACATAGGTACCGCAGACGACTTATTACACCTGTACTCTGGTAAGTTACTGTGATATGGTGATCTAATTTCATAATTTTTTGCAGGACGTTTATCATTACTTCGGACTCGGCGAGTTATTAGGCAGGAGGGATGCTCTAAAATGGCTTACTGTCAGCTTATGCAAGGAAGGTGCCATATTCCACGATCTATGTACAAACAGACTAAAAGGAGACAATACAGCGTACATAAATTCTGTAAGTATACGATAAAGAATATTACTGTTTTTTTTTTCATTCAGAATACAATTTACTCGTGGCTTCGCTCACGTTAATTTATCCCCTTAGGGGTGGAATTTATCAAAATCCTTTCTTAAGGAATGCCTACGTCATAGTAGCTTTATGCATGCAAAGTCTCAGCCCGATCGGTTTAAAATTGACAAAGTTTCATACAAACTTTCATCCCCTATTTTATCCCCTTGGGGGTAGATTTAATCAAAATCCTTTCTTAGCGGATGCCTACGTCATAACATCTATCTGCATGCCAAATTTCAGCCCGATCCGTCCAGTGGTTTGGGCTGTGCGTTGATAGATCACTATGTCAGTCACCTTTGAGTTATATATATTTAGATTGTGTTCATTAGGCAGGATGTATGCTTGATATTAATGTGATTTTTTGGTTATATATTGTGGTGTCTATCACTAACAATGTGTGGTTAGGTAACACTAGCTGTGGTCACGAGCTGACTGCCTACTGTGTATGGAGTACCACTGACTGTGGAGTAGCAGAAGTGTCAATGTTAATACCTGATTAACTATATTTATAGTAAAATTAACACAAATTCTTAAAAATGTAATACTGAACCTTTATTTAAAAGAGCAACACGCAATTTTTTCTCATTCCTTTGAAATCTACGTTCTGAATGTGTTATTCAGTAAAATAAAACGTATTTTCAATAGTGCAAATATTAAGTTTGTTTGACTAAAGATTATTTCTATTTCTAATAACTAATTGTGCAACTATAATTATATAACGACATAATTCCCGTGTTTGTTACTACGTAGATCTTTGATAATCAAATATCAAAGCGTACCAATCTTACATAATAAATATAATATCAAAACAGCACCAACTATTATTTTATTATTGAAAAAATAGCTAGCTAGTTCAGAATTATTCACAAAATAAGTCACTTTCCTCTTTTGGTTTTAATTTTCGCATTTCTTTAGCTTTTATTAAATTAAATTTGTTCAAAATATTGATATTAAATAGATACTATTTATCAGTTTTGTTACGATTGTATGATGTCTTTCTCTATTATATATAAAATTCTTGTGTCACAGTGTTAGATGCTATACTCCTCGAAAACGGCTTGACTGACTTTGATGAAATTTTATATGTGTATTCTGAGAATATATTACTATCCATTTTTTATACCCTTAAGTGATTAAGGATGACCGATGACCAATTTTTTTTATGTTTTTGACACAATTTTATTTCTGATTCATTTATGACGTAGCTTTAAAAAGACATACACTGTTTTACCACCAACCCCTATTTTTTATAGCGATGTCCGTACTTTTATATATATGGAAAACAACGTTTGCACCTAGTCATTATATACAAAGACAAACATAAAGATTACAATTTTTTGCAGACGTTGACACCTCTAATCGTAGGTCACGCGCCTGCCGGAGCATCTCTATTCCAACTCGGCCACTACGGACAATCTTACAACTCCAGAGATTTCAGAAGATACAACTTCACCCCCATGAAGAACATCGAACGATACGGACGCCCAGTGCCACCTTCCTACGACCTGTCCCAAGTGACAACGCCAACATACCTCCATTACGGATTGGGCGATTACGTCACAGATCCTAGAGACATGATCGTACTCGTCGATAGACTACCCAATGTGGTAGGTATGTACCTAGCCCCACGACCAAGTTTCAACCATTTCGATTTCGTTTGGGGTGTAGACGCGAGGGAACAAGTGTACGATACCGTTGTGAGACTTATGCAAGAATTGGAAGCGAATAAGAAATAAAAATGGCCATTTAATATATTGTAAATACAGAATTAAGAGTAATAAAAAAATATTTATTATCGATATTTTTTTATTTGGTCTAACACCACCGACTGCAGTCGGAGAGTTAATAGAAAATGTTTCAGCCGGATTTGAACATAACAATATTGGGGTGCTATCTCTAGTCATTGGCACTCCAAATCCAAGTGTGTTAAAATGTTTATGAATGGAACATGTTTATTTAAGAATCTTTGCATAATGTTTAGTACTAGCATAAGAAATCTATCTTTTACAATACATCTTGAGTAATTTTCACCGTTTATGACAATTATTACTGTGAAATAAATAATATTGATTTGAATTCGAAGTAAATAGGTAGGTCTATGTGTGTCTATACATTACGAATGTCTGATTATTTTGTGATATTATTTTTATATCAATAAATCTTAATTACATTACGCGTTTGTTTTTTATTTTATCATTTATATATAGATATCTCACGCATTAAATTTATAGATAAGTGTCAAATTATTATGATTTAAGTACATAATAATCAGCAGGAGTTAATACGAGTGTTTTTGAAACATTAAAATTTATAATTAGTTTTTACGAATGAAGTATTATTATAGTTACGTTGGAAGATATTTTTTACGAATGAAGTATTATTATAGTTACTTTGTGTTGTAGTAATAAGAAAAAAGACTTGGTAAAACGGAGAAAATATATTAATAATAGACAACTAACATATTAGGAACAGAAAGAATGAATTGAAGTATCAAAAACAAGAATGTAATATAAAAGAACTATAAATTCAAATACAAATTTAGAATATAAAATACATATCTGATTAGCCAGTTACAACACTTTGGAAGATATTTTTTACGAATGAAGTATTATTATAGTTACTTTGGAAGATACTTTTTACGAATGAAGTATTATTATAGTTACTTTGGAAGATACTTTTTACGAATGAAGTATTATTATAGTTACTTTGGAAGATATTTTTTACGAATGAAGTATTATTATAGTTACTTTGGAAGATATTTTTTACGAATGAAGTATTATTATAGTTACTTTGGAGGATACTTTTTACGAATGAAGTATTATTATAGTTACTTTGGATGATTTTTTGGAGATGTGCTTCGACAAAGATTAGATATTCTGTAAATAAAAAAGAGCAATATACAACACTGTTGGCGACAGCTCCTCAGGGAGAGCAGTGGACTGTATGATGGTGGGGTTTGAAACAAATGGTCGTCTCTTGAAATCTGTTTATTCTCACCACAGAAGTTTCACAATTGAGTGATAGTCGTATTCGATGTTACGTTTCAATTTCAGCCACTGTAGCTTGGACTGTAGCCTGTCTACATTTAACCACTGTAACTGATTCTACAATAATAACGGACTATAACTGCCGTCCGATATACCAAACAAGTATATTTCCGAACTATCAAGTGAATTAAGAAAGAAGACGAATAAAGATATTGCTGTAGACAGATTTGCGGTTTTAAATAAATGTAAAATTATTGCATGTGGTAGTAAAAATAATAACATACTACTGAGTAGTACCGAATGTTTAGATTTACTGAAATAGTTTTATGATAATGCACACTCAAACATAACCAATCATCTAAAGAAGAATAGTTAAAATAAAAAAAACATTTTAGATAGTATTATCTTTTAGATGAGATAGCATTATCATAAAACCTAAACTATCTAAAATGTTATTGTTTTTTTTATTTTAACTATTCTTCTTTAGATGATTGGTTATGTTGAGTTTGTCATATTTTAGAATTGAATAGATATAGTCTTGATACAATTTTGAATAGCTATTTTTTAATCGAAGAATAGGTCTATAAACAGTTGTTGTTATTTTTTTATTGAAGTGTCTGTTTGTAATATTGAAATAACCGTATTTTTACTACATGCATATGAATATAAACACGGTACATACACCAAAATAACATATTTTACAATTTTTATCTGTCTGTCTGTCTGTTTTTTCCGGCTAATCTCTGAAATGGCTGGACCGATTTTGATGGGACTTTTTTGGCAGGAAGCTGATGTAATAAGGTGTAACTTAGGTTACTTTTATTTTAGGAAATAGAGTTAAATTTCACACGGACGAAGTTGCGGGTACAACTAGTGCAGTATAAATGTTAAAGATATATTAGAATGGTTTAAAAATATAATAAGTGTTTACAGTTAGAATTTACAGTAATTTCTGTCTCTCTTAAGACTCATGAAATTTTGATTTCGTTGAAATGAGATAGGGGTTCGATCGGAAGAAGTACAATCACATTTTGCCTCTCATCTGCGTAGGAGCCATTTTTTGTACTCTGACACTATAGCTCCATCTGGGGTGTTAATGTCATTTTGACAGCTAACAGTTGTAAGAATAATCGAATATGCACTACATGAAGTTAAAAGTGTTGTATAAAAGAAACTATAAAATTATAGGCACAAAACTGCATCATAACAGAGTTTCTAATTTCTTGAATTATTTAGGCTGTGCGTAATATAACAGTTAGACAAAATAAGGTATACAGTTAGACAACTTACCACAATTGTAAATTAGATAGACTTATATTAATTTATTAGTCCGAGAGCGTAGGTTTATTGTTTCACTACTCCGACTTATAGTTACTGCAAGGTACTGAGGTTCAAAGAAGACAATTATGCATCTATGGTGATGAAAATAGTAATAACAATTAAAATTAATCCAACAGACGATAGACTAAAAATGAAGGAAAGTAAAGTTCTAATATATTAAGTCAAATATTCCGTGATAATAATAATACTGCAACTGGAATTTTAAATAAAGATGATACTTATGTCATAGTGATATCATATATAAGAATAATAATAATAACAAATAAACCTGGACTATTAACATAGCGCCATCTAGTCCCACGGTAAGCAGAGCTTGTGTTATGGGTACGAGACTAGACAACTGATATAAATACTAAGATTTTTTTTGTTAATACATATATTATATACATAGAAAAAACTCAGACCGATACAAACAATCATACTCATGAATACAAATATTTGTGTCGTGCGAGGAATAGAATCTGAGACTATTGGAGGTAAGGTGTGCTAAGCCGCTAGACCACCAAGACCGTCTTAGTTAGGTTAATTTATTTATTTATGCAATTATTTTCCAGTATACTACCCCAGTTATATAATATAAAAATTGTTTGTTTTTTGGTTACCATTTTATCTTGGTTTTAAATTAATTATCAATCCATTAATTCAACATGATCGATCGCCACACCAGATAACGCCATAAAAAAGGTTAAATACATGTGGTTCTTCGAGTCAGTGGGTGGTCTTTGTTAGGTTACACTGGACGTTGAGGTTATAATGTTGAAGCCACTACTGTTCATGGTATTGGCGACGGCAGTGGTAGCGAGGAGGTCGCCGAATGCAGATTACGTTGAGAACTGGTTGAAGGAAAATGGAAATCATGGGTTTACACCGGAAGTAATCGAGGATGCACTTCTGGATGCTGTAAGTAATGCAATTCTCATTATGACAACGACTAAAGTAACGATGAAAGACTTGAATATTTGTTTGTAAATTATCGTTAGGAAGTGTCAAGTACAAGTATTATCTGTGGTAGATTTATAGCATTGTGTTTGTGTGGTCTATGCCTGTCTCTCTCAGCTTTTGTTCAATGGTGGGCGACGGCACGAATCTATGTGAGCTCTGCATTGTAATTCTCTAATAATTGAAACTTAAAAAGATATAATAAAGCTCTTAGAAATAGAAATAGAAGTAATCTTTATTCAAATAAACTCATTACAAGCACTATTGAATAGTCATATTTTGATTCTACCAATCATTTGGAATGCAGATTCATCACAAGAAGAATGAGCAAGTAACTTGTGTGTTACTCGTTTGAATGTATGTTTTTTTTATACATACAAAATCTCTCTATTATTATTATACATATACAAAAATACTTTCACATAACGAATTAGACGTTTAAACAAGTAAAGTGGGCTACATTTTTTTAAAAGATATACAAGACTAACTTACCCGCTTAACTTCGTCTGCTACCCACTTCCATGACATTTGTTATTATATTTCGCCCAATTTACCTGATATCTTCTTAAATTATAGCCTGTGCATTATTCTGATGTCTAAGTCATATTACTGTAAAATTTTATCAAAATCCGTTCAATAGTTTTTGTGTGAAAGAGTAACAAACGTTCATGAATCCATCTATACCCACAAACAGTTGCATTTATAATATTAGTAAGAGTAACTAACTCGACACACGTTGTCGTGTCTTAACTATGAATATTTAATTTGCATTGGATTGCATTTTTTTTTATTAATTATAATAATAAACAAAAAATCAGCAAACTTTTCTTAATTTTATCTTTCATAAGAACCTTCACCCGACAATAACAAACACAATAATAAAAAAAAGGTATAGCCCGTACACGTGTGATACCGTGACTAGTGATTTAGGGATTCATTTTTATATATATAGATATCCTTACAATAATTACAATAATGTGGGAATGAAAGTTACGAAATTCTTTCTTCTTTTCATAGGAGAAGAAATGTTAAAATCGGAAGATTTTCACTTTGTTTCTTGTTGAAAGTGGTTGATATTCAGAGTTATTCCACCTTTTATGGTATATAAAACATCCTGTTTTAGATTATATTCATCAGAATTTACTGTAATGGGCTTGGTTTGTTTTATTGGATGATAATGACATGGTGCATCCGCCTGCTCTAACGGTCTACGCTGACTGGGCACCAGTGAAGGATTATAAGATGAACATGAGTTCTAGCCAGTTAAACCATCGTGGCAAATTCACTAGGAACTTGTCACGATGATTTCCAGGAGGAACCACGTGGAGGTCAACAAGACATGGTACATTGCTAGTAATTCAAAATGTCTTTATTCATGTAGATCTATTACAGACTCTTATGATATGTCAAATCTACCGTCAGTTCGGAATGATTTCGAGATGAGAAGAACTGACAAGAAACTCAGCTTGTATTTTTTTTAATGTTGTACATATTTAGAATAATACTATTTCATTTAAATTCAAATTTGGGAGAGTAGAGAGACCACCAGCATATGCTATATAAAAAAAAATCGAAAAATCTAATCAGTTCGCAACCTGAACAGAATGGAAACTGAATGGGTTCATTAGTCTACATTACTAACAATACCATTCCGCTCTGGAGTAGTTACTTATACGTACTTAACTTATTATATATTAATTATACTTAGTATCCTTTGACATGGGAAAATCATCCAAAGGTAATCTTCACTCAAGTTTGCAGCTTGTACATATACCTAGTATTGCATTCTACCATAACATCTGACACCGACGTTGTTAAATGTATCATGCAGAAAGAATAGAATAGAATAGATATATCTTATGCAAATAAACTTAAATTTAAGCAAAAGTTATATTTAGAAGGTTTGAATAGTCATACTTTTTTTTAATCTACCGCTCATTTGTAGCTGTATCACAAGAACAAGGAGCAAGAAACTTGGGTGTTGCTCTTTTAAATAATTGTTGTAATTATCAAATTGAAATGTGTGCGTACAAAACATCAATTAGCGCTAATTCAGTAGAGTCAAAATATTAACTACTCGTTTAATTGGTTAAGTAACTAAATAAGATTATGTCAGTCGTAATAACTAGGTTCCTACAAGTACTCGTTCCCAAGTATGACGCATGTTGTAGGGTGAGCCTTTCCTCTCCAATTAGAGTGATATCATTTTTTTATACTACGTAGGTGGCAAATAAGCTTACGGCCCATCTTATAGTAAATGGTTACCATAGTCTATGAAACACCAGGAGTGTCAAGTTGCCGACCTTAAGATTGCTTAAGGGTAAGAAAGAAGGCCCCTAAGAAATCTTAAGGACGGCAACTTAAGCTTCATCCTACCTTGTTAAGAAGTGTGGATATAGACTCCAAACTAAATGTTGTTTAGTGATTATAAAGGTAATTAAAACATGACGTAAAACAGTAAATTAATTACAGAATGTATATTTAGATGTATTAACATCGAATATTATGTTGATTATAAAATAATTATACATTAGTAAACAGATAAAATGAATCGATAAAATTATATCTATTTTCTTTTTTTTATTTTATCATTATTTGTGAAATTCTTTCACTTATTTATAGTTACACTAGTAACTCGCCCCGGCTTCACATATGTCTAAATGCATTTTACATATAAATCTTCCTCTTGAATTACTCTTTCTGTTGCTAAAAACTGCATTAAAATTAGTTGCGTAGTTTAAAAGAATTAAGTGAACAGATAGCGCAAGCGACTTCATTCTATGCGAAGATGACTCCAGAGTGACATAGGCTATATAGTTCTCGAGCCAGAGCCTAATTTCGTCAATCATTTCCTCTCGGCTGAAAACTTTTATGATGGTAAAAGTCAAAATAGTTTCGAGGATGGGCGGAGCAGGATCCTAGCAACATTAAAAAAAATATTATTGATATAACTAGACGTAGCAGATAATGTATTAAAATATATTTTCTAAGTAAGAATTGAAATTAACTTTGAAGTTATAACGTATCAGGTAATTTTTTATAAAAAAAAATTACTCAACCTCCCCTCGGAACCGCAGCTGACACTCACTAAGCTTTTTTTAGCTGCTGCCTTAGAAACTATAGAAGATTTCAAGATTTCAAGGGAAAATGAGATGGTGATGATAACAAGTATATGTTTTTTTTATTTTTTTTTTATTTTGTTTTTTTTCACACAGCGCCATCTAGACCCAAGTTAAGCTATCTAAAGCTTGTGTTATGGGTACTAGATAACTGATACTAATACATAGATATTTTTTTTTTGTAAATACATACATATTATACATAGAAAACACCCAGACCGATACAAACAATCATACTCATGAATACAAATGTTTGTGCCGTGCGAGGAATCGAACCCGCGACCGTCGGTCGTAAAGCGGTGTGCTTGACCGCTAGACCACCGAGGTCGTCAAATGTGTATTGAGATTTATAGTATTTTAATATTTAATAAAGCATAGATTAGTTTAAAACCACAGAGATAGTATACAACAGATATATGTAATTTATATCTTAACTGAACACAAAAATTATGATATATTTGATTAATAATTTCCTGTGGAGATAGGCGATCCTATCTTGAAGATAATGATTTATTTTTGTAATGCTTATGTACGTATGTATGATAATGAGCACTATTCATTATGTGATAAATAGCAAGTTTATGGACCGCCCCGGCTTCACTCATAGTCACATAGCTTTGTGACTTCTACGCAAGAAAATGGAATACTATTAATAGCAGTTACAAAAATTCTTTTAGAATATTTTAATTTAAAAAAATTTTAACTCATATAGGCAGTTATACAAACAGAAAGCTGAAAATTGCTATGTATTTAATAAATTTTCAACTTTCTATCTCCATAAATATAGGACTTATGAATTTTTGGAATAGTTTTTTGGCTCTGGTGTAAAGTTGGATTTTTTAATATAATATGTATATGCCAAGGTATATTGGGATGGGAGCTGTATGTCATCTTCTTCAACTGATACCTATTGGCCGTCATTGCTTAGCTTACTCTCATTTTGTAGTTAGTTTAGTTTGACTTACGGCGTAAAGGTTAATCTTGGAATAATAGAAGAAACATAGAAGTTTATTTATTTATTTAATCTTTATATGCAGTAAATTCACAAATATGTACACAAATGTAGACTTAAGGCATCATCTTCCAGCCAACCATAGGAGAAACAGAGATTTATGTGCGTGCACTACCCAAACTTTAAAAAAAACAATGAATTAGAATATACGTAAATATAAAACATCTATTACTAAGGTAATATTATTGTATTCTTCAAGCCAAGTCTTGTAATGTTAATTCTTTAACGATTTTAATAATGAATTGTTAAATTAAATAACTTCTTTTCGTAGCATGTTATATAATTTAACATTTTTTCAGCCAGGTCTGATTGAAAAATATGGATATCCAGTAGAAATTCACAAATTAACCACGCCTGACAATTACGTGTTGGAAGTTCATAGAATTCCGTATGGAAGAGATCAGAATAATGAGCCTGATCCCAATAAACCTGTTGTTTTGGTCATGCATGGACTTATCTCTTCATCAGCTGAATTTGTAGTACAGGGACCAGAAATCGCTTTGGGTGAGGCAGCTTTGAAAATATCTTTAATCAATTTATGTAGTAATTTGTATAACGAAACAGAAAATGTACATTCCCATATTTTGTGTATCCCAAGACAATTCACACCAGTGGTATCTAGTCTCAAGCTAAGTACAGCTTGTGTTGTGGGTACTAGAAAACTGGTAGAATTATAAATACATTTTTTTGTAAATACAAATATTGAAACAAATCTTCGATGTACTACGTACAAGCTACTACTACTACTAACATAGCAGATGGCTGGATTAAGTATATGTATAACTTACGTTGTGTCTTAAATACCGACAGTGCCAATTAGCAGTGTCTTGGTATTCTATTGGTCTACTGAAGATTCAAAATATTGCAGCGAAATATAGGGAATATCCAGATATTAGTATGTAGAAACATGTATAAATGCACAATGCAATGCTATTGCTATGACCAAAATTTGGCATTTTATTGCCTCTGTATGTTAAAAGAAATCTTTCTAATCAACAGGTTATGCCCTGGCCGAGGCCGGTTACGACGTATGGTTGGGCAATGCTCGTGGAAATTTCTATTCTAGGGAAAACCTTTATCTGGACCCAAATGATCGACGTAATCCAGAGTTTTGGAGATTCAGCTGGGATGAAATAGGAAATATTGATTTACCTGTCACCATTGACCACATCCTTGAAGTGACTGGACATTCCAAGTTGCATTATATCGGTCACTCCCAAGGCTGTACCATATTCTTCGTCCTCAACTCCTTAAGGCCAGAATACAATGAGAAGTTCATATCAGTTCATGCAATGGCGCCGGCTGCATTCTTCTTATATAGTAACGATTTCTTCACAAGGCTTGTAGCACCGTATTCAACTGCTATTGAGGTAAGAAGTCATTTGATAGCTTTTCTTCAAGATTATTAACGTAGTTTTAGAGAGATGTTTCTGGGATTAATCCTAAGCTATACAATTTTCTAATTAATCAACGGTTATGAAAAAACTAATAATAAACTGCAATTAAATCGAAAGACGGCTCCCGCTATCAAGTTAGACTAAAATATTTATATTACTATATTTATATGTATGTTCTCATATTTATATTTTAATCCTAAGTGGCAGGGCTGCTGCCGTCTCTAGGATTGAATTTGGGTTTTACATTGGTGTTTCCATTACTGGCTCGAAATGGAAAAATTTTTGGCGTTAGCCAGATTTAAACTCATGACCTCTGTTATGGGTGGTTGGTGGGTGTAACTCCACTATGATCTCATCTATCTAGTTTATTTCCTTGAAAGCAAAGTTCACGGAAATAAACCTATTTATATAATATTCTTGTTGCAGGTTCTTAGCGAAACTGTGGGCTATAACGATGTATTCGGCAACAGAGCATTGCTAACGTGGTTTGGTATTAACTTCTGCAAAGAGGGCGATTTAATACACAGCATATGTGTCTCAATGTTAATAGCAGAAGGCGACATAGAATATTTTAATACGGTAAGTGTTTTATGTATTTTATGGCAAACAAGCTGACGACCCATCTAATGGTAAGTGGTTACTGTCGCTTAAAGAAGTAAGCTGCATCGCAGATGTTACAAATTCAATTCTGATGCTCGTGGTATAACTTAGTCTACAGAAACGGTAACACTACTAATTTTGAAGATAAGATTTAATTAATATAAAGAAATTAAATATTTGCATGGTATTTTTATAATCATCGAAGTAGATGCCAGTTAATACTAATTAAAACTAAAAATATTTGTCAAAAATTAGTTATATAAGGAATGTGCCCTATACTGCGCTCACCAGCGAAAGAAGTTGTAATGGGAAGTTACCCAATTTTAGAACCTATATTCTTTCATACTTTGAAACAATCTTATTTTTCCAGACTTTAACGCCAGTAGTATACGGCCACTCGCCCGCCGGATCATCCGTAAGACAAGCCTTCCATTACCTCCAGGGTACATATACCAGAGAGTTCCGAAGATACAATCATATACCGATCGTAAATATTGAACGATACGGTCAAGCCGTCCCGCCATCCTACGACCTATCCCTAGTTACAGCACCAATTAATGTTCACTACTCATTGGGTGATGCAACGGCGGATTATAGAGATATTTATCATTTAGTTGAAAGGTTACCCAATGTAGTCGGTATGCATCAAATAGAAAGGACAGCATTCAGTCACAGAGACTTTGTTTGGGGTATTGATGCAAAAGAACAAGTGTATGATAAGGTTATCAATCTTATGAGAGAGGCAGAAGCGAAGCTCAAGTGAAAGAATAATAAGTGAATTATTCTTTCACTAAAAATAATAAGTGAATTCTCTTTCTGTTATTTCATTAAATTATTTTCTATTAATAAAAAAATTAAGTAATTTTTCGTGTATTTTTTTGTGTGGCTATTATGCTGCGACTTCTCTGTCCCATTGTATTAATTAAACACCAGTTACATTTCGTATTCACCATATAATTACTCCATAACACTTATAAATTATTTCTATCTTTAAATTATTTATAATTATAGTAGATGTCAGTGGTTCAACAAAAAATTAATTTGTTTAATTTCTATTGACATATTAGACACTAATGCGTATTATTTGTGAGTACTACAAAAACTAAATGTTAACCGGGTCTAAACACGAATAATTTTATGTAATATGGTCACGAGCTGCCTGAACATCGATGTCAATGTCGGTAGGTGCGAGTAGTTTTTTTAACTACCGCCAATACACGAAAGATTGCGATACACAACACTCACGGTATCTGTACACTTATTGAGAGATGCTGTCAAACTTTGTTTGAACTTCTTTATAACTAGATTCCACGCAGATGATATCCATATTCTCGGTTAATAATTACTTTTTTTTTTTTTTTATACCACTTAGGTGGCAAACAAGCATACGGCCCATCTGATGTTAAACGGTTACCGTAGCCTATGGACGCCTGAAACATCAGTGTCACATGCGCGTTGCCGACCCTTAAGAAACCTTAATATACCCTTCTTGAAAAACCCCATGCTGTAGTCTCTCGAGAAAACCTCGGCAGGTAGTTCATTCCACAATCTAAGTGTCACTGAAACCGCACTGTACGAAACTTAGGTTCCAGCGTGTGGGGATGAATTCCCTGTCGATGGCGAGCGGTGCGATGGTAAAAGGTAGCCGTAGGCATCATGTCAAACAATTCATCAGAACACAGTCCATTGTATATTCGGTAGAACACACAAAGCGATGCGAAGTCTCGCCTCAAGCTAAGTGGTTCGATACCGTTTGAGAAATTGGGATCGTCGACAATTCTCATAGCACATCTCTGAACCGAGTCAAAAGGACCGAGCTGGTATCCAGGTGCTCCTGCCCAAAGATGAGAGCAGTACTCCATGTGCGGCCGAACTTGCGACTTATACAATAGAAGTCTCTGGTTCGCAGTGAAGTACCGCCTCGCTCTATTCAGCACACCGAGCTTCTTGGACGCCAGCTTGACCTTTTCTTCGAGATGACTACGGAACTCAACTGTGCTAGAGATGTCGACACCGAGAATCCCAATGCTCTTAGAGATGGTAATGGACGTGTTCTGGAATTGCGGAGCCACAGCAAAAGGGGTTTTCTTAGCGGTGAACGCGCAGGCTTGTGTCTTGGTAGGGTTGAATTGAACTAAGTTCAATCGCCCCCAATCGGAGACTCTGGTGAGAACTCTCGATTTCAGACACAAGCTGTTCGCGCTTTGACTCCACAACGGAAAGAGGGATGTTCGCACGGCCCGTGTAAGACGCGTCCCCAGTACTGTCATCCGCATAGCAATGAATGTCAACCGTAGTTAACAAATCATTAATATGCAGCAAAAACAGTGTCGGGGAGAGAACAGAGCCTTGCGGGACGCCAGCGTTAATGTCCATGCTATTGGAGCAACTACCGTCGACCACGGTTTTGATGCATCTGCCAGACAAAAAACTAGCGACCCATTTGCATAATCCCTCTGGTATTCCGTATGAGGGCAATTTCGATAGGAGACCTTGATGCCACCGATCGAATGCCTTCGCCATATCAAGGCTGACTGCCAACGCCTCACCCTTGCTCTCGATGGCAAGAGCCCAGCGGTGTGTGAGATACACTAAAAGATCACCACACACACATCGTAATCTTCTAGGTATCTGAGGAGCTGTGTATTAATTACACGCTCCATCACCTTGGAGAGCAAAGATGCGATAGCGATAGGCCTGTAGTTCGATGGGTTTGACCTGTCGCCCTTTTTTGGCACAGGGTGCACACACTTCCATGACGACGGAAATTGCCCAGAGGAGTATGAAAGCGCGAAGAGGCGCGTGGGTACGGGACACAACTCAGGAGCACACTTCTTTAGCACCAGCCACACGTTCGACTTGTTGACGTCGAGAGACAGCAACTCTCGCCGGACACTCCGTTGTGTTACGGATATTTCCGGCATAGAGTTACCACACCATGGGATGGTAGTAGGTATGGTGTTCCCAGCGTCTAAAGTCGAATTTGAGGCAAAAAGAGCGCACAACAAATCGGCCTTCTCTTTTGCACTATGTGCCAAGTTATCATCCGGCTTCCGTAGTGGTGGTAAGGACGACTGACTAAAGTTACCTTCGGCAGCCTTAGCAAGGGACCAAAAGGCTCGACTTCCAGAAGGATGACGGGCTAATCGCTCCCCAATTTTGGTGACGAAGTCGAATTTGGCTCTAGCAATTACTCTTTTACTAAACCTGGACGCAGCATTTAAATTCCGCCTCGCATCAGATACGCCAACATCCCTGTTGGAACGAGAGCCTGATAAGCAGTTTCTTTAGCCTGTCTGGCTTCATTACTCTCACAAAACAGAGTCTGTGCCCCTGAATTTGTGGCAGAGGAACTGTCCGCTGTTCAAGAGGTGCTTAAAAGAAACGGGTACATAATGAGTAGAAGGTAAGCGCTTAATAAAATCTAAAAAAACGGAACCGAAACTGAACAGACAACCAGCATACATGAAGTATTTGAAAGGAATAACGGATAAAATTCTTTACACACCCTCTCTCATACAGACACTCACATTCATTTCACACACACAGAGAGGTTTCACACACACACACACACACACACACACACACACACACACACATATCATTAACTATATTATATACCGCAACTAGCGACACATTATACAACTTTACCTCACAAAAACATTTGTTAGATTTATTACATACCAGTAAGTCCTCGGAGAGATGGAGATCTGTAGTACAGGTTTCGACTTAGTTCAGACTCCAGACTCTCGCAAGGAATAGCTTGTAAGAATAAATACATACTTTTGTTACTTTGTTCAATATTGTAATTGCGAGCAGTAAATAAAGATTATTATTATAATTGGATTAATAATGAACAAATTCTTTTTTATTCTTGATTAGTTCGCAAAGATACAAATAAATTAAAGACAAAATATGAAATGCTTTATATTTAATAATGTTTAACAACAATCACATTATAAATGAAACTACACTATTAAGAGAGTATTATTTACAGTATGAAGTTACAATTTAGAAAGAAATCTTTGCATGCCATTCTAAATTGATTATGAGAATAGAACGATAAATATAATTTACATAAAAATAAAATAAATTGGTACGCGTCTAGTCGAAGGATCGCATTGTTCTAAAGCCAATTGACGAACGAAAACAGAATTATTGTTACTTAACTTGAAAAACTCTACTTTACAAAAATTTTTAGAATCTTTTATTACACATATAGGTATTAATCAAGATTAATGTTGAAAATTGGTAGGTATTTAACCAATTTTCACCTGCATATGTCTATAAATTAATGAATTTTGAATCAGTTTTTTGGACTCTGGTGTAAAGTTGGGTTTTACAATTTACAACAAATTCGTTTTCTTCCGTCGATATATATATACCTCATATAAAGTTTCACTTTATCGTCTAAAAGTTGCATTACCAAGCTATGAAAGATATAAATCTCTTGAGTTCGAATAACAAATTGTTTCAAGATTATAGAGAAAATATGTAAAAAGAATATAAAATAATTGTAATTACCATCGCAAGAAATTAAACAAATTATTAAGGAAAATAAGTGTGAAAAAGTAATAATTAAAAGAAAAGAAAACATAAAACAAAATCTGGCAGCAATCATAACTAAATCGTGATCTTAAGCCAATTTTGCTTACAAACAAAATTACCAAGATTCTATTCAAAATACACAAAGAATATAAAATTTAAATTAAAGATACTCGTTACATCAGTTTTTAATAAATTTATTACTCTAAGTGAATACAAATTGCCACAGTAAAATATTAGCAATATTTTTTTAAGATTAATGAACTAAATCCATTCGTAAATGAATGTAAGTATTTCTACGTTTACACTAGAATTCCTTACAGGTTATATTATAATATTGCACTAGTCGAAGTAATTAGGTACGAAATTTCTTAAATTAGTCGTTGGTTTGATTACATAAATATCGATGAATATGATAGTTATCAATACAATCCTGAAGGCATATCTGTTACTTTATGAATTCCGAAGCTACTAGAGGTCCCCATCGGTGATAAAGTTCTTTTTAAATCGGCATGACTGTGAGTTCCATTCATGACGAGACTCGTCATACTAGCAGGCGCATCCCTTAAAATGTGAGTTCCAGAGTAAAAACCCGCATTACTATGACCACGCTTCACGAGAAACGACGGGCTAGTGTAAGATGGAGTATGGTTATCGTAAGAACCAGTGCTACGTTTTGGTTGAGGTAAGTAGAATTTTTGTGCAGACTCAACTTTGTTAACCTCTTCTCTGCCTTTATTAGACCGCATGTCGAATCTCTGGTGAAAGTTATTCAGTTTATTGTTTGATTTAGTGACAGGAACTACTGGAGACTCTACCCCTGTATCACTATTAGTTCTAGAACATGACCGTTGTCTCCTTTCATAAGGCCAGGACGGTTTTTTGGGTTCAGCCAACATTACTATATCAACCATTGAATTTAAACCTTCATCAATCCTATCCAAACTTTTTGTCAGTTTCTTTGATTCTATCAAATTTACTATTTCATCTACACGGTTGCATTTGGAATTAGATCTTTGTAAAGAAGGCTTGCTTGTAGAGGTTTGATCGTTGTAAAACATGCTATCAATATATTCACGTTGTCGCGAACCTTTTTCTGAAGTTTGAAAAGACTCACTTCGTTTAATAGAAGTTCTCTTCGGTTCTTCTCTTGAACAAGTCCTAGAGCGTTTAACTCTATTATCCGCTTTCTCCTTTTCTGTTAAAGAATTAAACATTGCTCTACATTCTTGAAAATCGAAGCTTGATCCTGACGAATTTTTAGTTACTTTGTTTTGGCAACGCGAGGCACTTAACAAAGAATCAGAATCATCATCGCTGGAGAAAAAATTGTTATCGTATAAATCAGGTCTATTGTAAAGCAATCCTTGGTCGGCCGGTGGGACGAATAAATGTATTAAGCTTTTGGCTTTCCTCGGTGGATGTGGGTGAATCTTACTGGGGATTATTTTAATTTCTTCCTCTTCATCATCATCATCATTTTCGTTTAAGTACTCATTGCTGCTGTTCGTTATTTGAATGCTGTGTCTAGTACTTGTCACAGAATCTTCTTTGTCTTCATCTCGATAATTTTGACATTCTAATGTCTTTACAGAAACGTTGATTTCAGACGTTTGATTACATCTGGACGATCGATTGTCCATATATCCATCTGGCGATTTATTGTACTGCTCTGATTCAGCATGATTAACGATATTTCTAAGTTCTTGAATAACTTCATCTATAGTTGTTTCGTCTTCTTCGTCAGAGGATTTTTTATAGTCTTTCTTTGTGGAGTCTAGTTTTTTATGAAGATTACGTTTGTTGCGCATTAAGTCGTATGTTTCATTCTTAAAAACTTCATAAACCATCGAGTCTCTTTGAGGATCGCCGTCAGGACTGAGGGATCTTTCAGATGAACTGATGCCTTCGTCTTCCGGTGGTGAAGATTCGTCTAAAACAAATAAATGTTTCTTGTAAAATGATATTTCGGACATAACTATTACAGGAATATTAATAAAAAGATAATATCTAAATCAATTTTGAGATCTTGCAAAAAATTAGCTTAACTGTTACGAGTCTCCATATTATAACTTTTACAAACGTTATTGACAATAATGACTATAATCTGAGTTTCTCATGTTAATATTTTTAAATTTTGTGTATGTATCTATAATTTATCTTACCTCTATTTTTATGAATAGAGTTCTTTTTCTTTAGGACAAACGTCTTCTTTCTGTTACTGTTGCCATGTTCTGACCTAAGCGTAGAAACTTCCTCTTGCAGTTCACAGCATTTTTCCTTCAAACATTTCTCCAACGATAGTAATATTCCCTTTTCTTCTTGGAGTATCTGTAATATGTTTTAAAGATAATTAATATACGTTAACTGCATTCTGTATGGAACCTGTATTATAATAACATATTTCATATTATACAAAATTCAGTGTAGTTTTGGGTGAGCGTGACAGGTTAGTCCTTTGAAATGGCAACGTCCTTTAAGATGTAAAATGATAATATAGTATAAGTGCTATTCATGTATATAGACAAATTTATCGTTTACAATCAGGCGGGCTGTCAACTTATTTCTCATTCTAATTTCAATAAAAAAAAATCTGCAGTTACTCAATTGCCTACCTTCACTCTTTTTTCTAGAAGGTCCAACTTATTACGCAGGTCATCCTTTTCTTTTAGTGCTTCGTTTGCTTTTTCACTCAACGTGTCTATATCAATTAATTGCTTCTCATAATTTTCTATTTCCTTTGTGACTTGTTCATTTGCGATCGGCAGTTTACTGATCATCTGAAAATAAAATAAATACAACTAGATGATATCTAAGTACTACTTACCGCAGATAAAAATAATATTTTCTTAGTACGCCATACACGTTATCTACTGCAAGTCTATAGCGTGTATGAGATACATATTGTTTACAACATTTCCATTTTATTGTGATAGGAACATTCTTCCTATCACAATGAAATGGGCGTATAGGCGAAATCCCTGTCTCAACAACTAATGCCATACAGTCGTTTGCCAAAGAATCGGTTACAGAGTAATAGGTTTTGTTTATTTTTTTTTATTCGTTAATTGAAATTTATTGTGATTTTTATAGCTGCCTTTATACAATCGTTCTTTCACGTGAGATCAGGACTACTTACAATTTAGCGCAGAAAAGCCAGCAAGCGCAATTGTGAGTGATTGCATTTTACTATTTTTTGTCTTTACTCTTTCGCGCGGGAAAGCACCTATGCTTCATCACTTTGTATTAAAATTATATTATTTATTCAACCGATTTTATAATACTCCAGCCTGACAGATACGATTTAGTCTGAGGGCACTGCAGGTTCGAACATCGGCTCATGCCGTCGTAATTTTGATCCCTGTTTGAAATCGGAGGGAATTCCTACGTGAAAGCCGATTCGCATGTCCAAAAGCGTACGTATAAAAGTAGCTAACATTTATATGCGACAGTCCAACAAGTAGACTGGCTGCTTACCTTCTTCAAAGTAATTATATCAAAGCTGGCCTGTTCCAATTCAGCCTGTATGTACAACTTCCGTTGGGGCGTTGGTGCGCTAATGAGGAGAGCGTTGATGAAGGCCAGCCCCGCTGCTTGTATCTCCCCCGTACCACCGGCGCTTTGCAACATCCCCACCAGGAACCTGAAGCGAACTGGTTCTCCATAACGAAGACGCAACGTTGACAGTGCTTCCGATATCATACTGTGGCCATTTACTGGTGGATAGCATGCTTTTGTCAAGAGCTGCAACAGAGGAATATTTGTTTTATTAAATTTTAGATTTGTACTATTAATACTCGGTGCTAAAGGGAACCTTTGTCGTCCTTTTTTTAGAGTTAGCACAACGTTACAGGAATGGAAGGATATTCTTAGAAGTGATACTTACTCTATCCTGAGGAGATAAAAACTCCTCAGGATAGAGTAAGTACACATTCTTAAGTAGATATGTCGTTCATGCATGAGTAGGCTTCAACCACATAGAATGTGCAGCATTTTCTCTTCCATTTGACCAGTGAGGGTCATCAAAAAAATAAACAATATATGCTTTATCGTTTATTTTTTTGAGGAAGTTAGGTCTGTCGACATTTTTGAGATCCCCCTTACTAATAATCCCGTCCCCCCCATACGTACAAAACTGAGAAGTTATGAACAAACGGACAAAGCCGGGGGACATCAGTTAGTAACAAGCAGGAGGGTTGTTTGAGGGTTGATTGTTAGATCTACTTACTATGATTGGTAATAAGATATTAACTTACCTGCAATGCCAAAATTCGGGACTTGTTGACTGTGGACATTATGCAGACAGTGAGGGTGTAGACGCAGTTGGAACCAGCAACCAGTCTACGCACGCAGTCAGGGTACCGGGTACAGCAGCTCCACAGGCATTGTCTGGAAATTAACATTAGTTTATACCAGGGGTGAACAACCTATTTCATCAACGGGCCAATTGAAATTATATTGCGGGCCGCACGTGAAGTAACACTTTTCATAATTTACAGAACTTTATTTATAACTAGCTGTACCCGTGACTTCGTCCGCGTGGAATTAACTTTATTTTTCTAAAATAAAAGTTAGGCTACTCCTTATTACATCAGCTACCTGTCAAAAAAAGTCCCGTCGAAATAGGTCCAACCATTTCAGAGATTAGCCGGAACAAACAGACAGACAGACACAAAAATTGTAAAAAATGTTATTTTGGTGTATGTACCGTATTTATATTCATATGCATGTAGTAAAAAACGGTTATTTGAATATTACAAACAGACACTTTAATTTTATTTATATGTACAGATAAAGTTATTAAATAAAATAAAGATATTTGTTTCTTTTTCTTCTGTTTGTTTGTTGTTACAAACATTCTTGTCATGGGTCCCCCCCGTCAACTGTCATATAAAAGAGCACCTACGTTACTTTTCACTGAATTTTATTAATTTAATTCCATGTCAAAATCGCTAGTTACAGCTAGTTTTAAAGACTATTTTTTTTGACACCATCTTACCATATAAAGCACCATCTAGTACTTATATAAATATAAAAACATACATTTTAGTATGTATAGAAAACACCAAGATCTAGCAAACAATTATACTTATATAAATATTTTTTTTTTTTTAAGTCAATTGTGTCCTTTTATTTATATATGTATAAAGTATTACAAACAAACAGACCTATGCAAACAATTATACTCATGAATACAAACGTTTGCACCGTGCGAGGAATGCAACCTGCGACCATTGGAAGTAAAGCGGTGTGCTAAACCACTAAACCACCGGAGCGTCAAACTATATGATTATATACTTACAAGCATGCCAGCTCATCCAGGAGCGGTCTCCTTCTAACAGCAGGTGGACCCTTAGCACCATCTCCGGACTGACTCAGTTGTACGTTGCGCAGGAGTTCAAGCAACAGTGTAACTCCATCTAGCGGTTCACACGCGAACTCTTGTACGAAACTGTAATAGACAAGATGTAAAAATTGGCAAAATAAACACAAGGTGATTTAGTTAAATATTGTCGCTGCAATTTTGTTTAAGATAAGTGTATTAATCGGAGTGAAGAGTCAGCACGTCACCCTACAGCCGTCAGTATTTTGCACCGCTCCGCGTCCATATAACGCCCACACATACCATTTTCCCTTCAGTACACCAAATACTCACGAGCAAGCATTAGTCCACACTCAATCATGGTGTACTCAATAAATCAAGAGAGCAGCCCGGACTTATCATTTATACATCATAGCGTCATAGAGTGTGTGGGTCACAGCAGACTCTTTTTCCCCTCCGATCGATCCCCGTCCAATTCAAACGGAGATTGAAGTTACGACGGCCTGAGCTGAGGTTCGAATCCCTAGCAATGCTCTCAGACTAAAATCACATCCATAAAGCAGGAGTTGGCCTTCAGCCGCTCCATAAGACCTTCCGCGGGTTTGGAGTGCCATCTGCACTCGCTGCACCGCTACACCGCTACACCGTCCGGTGAAGCTGTAAAGGCCAGCTGCGGCCAACAGCATTAGAGTAGTCCGATAAAAAAATAAAAAAACATCTTTGATTTGTTAAATTCATCGTGGACTATGTGAATATTAAATTTTATGATTATTTATTTATTAATTTTACGTTAATAGATGCGGAAAAATAAGGTGAAGGCCCATTGATTATACTGTCTACAGATAACTGTTATCACCGGAAGTGGTAACAGTCGTATATATCGTATATATGTATGTTATAACTTGATTTAAGCGATAAGGCCGCCATTTGTTGAGAATAGTTTTAATTTTGTAAATGTTTCTATATGCAATAAAGAGTACTATTATTATTTTGGTTTTTTTCAAAAATTCTCATCTCCCCTCTTAAGGAAAGGAGATGGCAACTTACCCCCGGCAGAAGCACAGTCGGCCGGGGTTCAGGGCCCCAGGGAGAGAAACCGGCGTACAATGCGGGCAGAATCTAAGAGCACCGCTTTCTGCGTCTTTCCCGGGAGTGAGCCGCCTCGGAATCCCAACCGTCTGAGATGTTGTTCCAGACGGGTTGGGATATTATTATTATTATTAAATGAATAGTACCACTAACATAACGCTTAGGTAAATCTTTGTATCGTCCGAGGAATGTAACTTGCGACCATCGAAATTAAGGTGGTTTTTTTTTTTTTTTTATTGATTGAGCATATTTTTTTTAACTCTTAGCTTCTGCGTTTGCGCTTTCGGGTTACGCTCGCATTAGCAGAGAATGTGAAGTGTTTTATTTTAAGACGAGTGATTGGATTTGCGATGTTTTTATTTTTTAGATGATTATATATTAGGAGATGGATTATTTACACTGATGAAATTGCGGTTCTTGGTATGTATCCTTTTTTTTTCCTTTCCTTCCCTTTTCCTTTTTTTTTTTTTTATTTTTATATATATATATTTTTTATATATAGTAGGTGGTACGACTAACCTCTAAATCGGGTGGGAAGGGATTGTTAGTAATGAGATCTAATGACCCATTGCTAGCAATGTACCATGTTAGGTTGACCTCCACGCGGTTTCTCCTGGAAACCATCGTGACAAATTCTTGGTGAATTTGTCATGATGAGCTAACTGACCTGACCTCATGCTCATCTTATCATCCTCCACTGGTGCCCCGCCAGCGTAAACCATAAGCGCAGGTGGGTGCACCATTCCATTATCATCCATGACAAAAAAAACCTCTACAATCGTGGGTAGCCATAAAGTAGTTTTATGCTGTATGTCAACAGAGCTAACAAAGCATGTAAGCTGTGTTTCAGTTATAAGGTGCAGATTAGGCAGAGAAATAATAATAATATAACGATTGCCTACTGAAAAAAATAAAATGAAAGCTTCACATAAATGTGGTAAAGGAAACAGTATCGAACCGAAACCTTATCGCTTAAAGCAATATCTTACAGATAACCTGGAAAATTACATGTTAATGGAATTATGCACGAGTGTCACATATAACAGAACATTATGAACAGTCATAATACCGTTCATGTTGCTGGTGATGGTTACCATTTACCATCAGGTCAGTCGTCAAATGGAGCGTATTTATTTATTTAAAACTTTATTGACCAATAAATTATGGTACACAAGGCGGACTTAATGCTATAGGCATTCTCTACCAGTCAACCTTCAGGAAGTGCAGAAATACTTGATCGTGGCTTAACATTAGTTATATAAATACAACTATTAGACTAAACTACAACTAAACGAGAACATGTGTAAACATGTGTATATATGTTATAATATTCATGTGTATTCTACATTAATATTATAACATATATACACAATATACATACAATACATAATATATATATACACTAGCTGTCCCGGCAAACGTTGTTTTGTCTTAAAATAAAAATAAAAAAATTAGGGACTAGACTAGGATGGACTACCCCTAATATTTAGGGGGGGGTGAAAAATAGATGTTGGCCGATTCTCAGACCTACTCAATACGCTCACAAAATTTCATGAGAATCGGTCAAGCCGTTTCGGAGGAGTATGGGAACGAAAACTGTGACACGAGAATTTTATATATAAGATATACATATATTTAATATGATTAATACATTACTTGTTCTATGACAATAAACTTAAAAGATGAGCATGCACATTTTATTTAAAAGTATACTTATTGGAGATAGTTTGAATGCGTGAAGAGTCGTGAAGATTGTAGACCAAAAGAGTAAGATACAAAATTAGTTTTATGAATAGAAGTTTAAAGTAAAAGAGAATCTTATTTACCTTTCAAATTACATAAAAAAATAAGATTCGATTTGTAATACCGTAAGTAAAAACATTATATATATATATATATATATTCACTTATGTGTACCGCGAATAAAGCTTATTTTACTCCGTGGGTTAAGTTATAAAAGATTAGGGAGTTTATTGTTTGCTATATAGTTTATATTGTGAAATTATTGTATACTAAGTATTACTACTTACTATATAGCAGTCCCGGCAAACGTTGTTTTGCCTTAAAATAAAAAAAAAATCAGGTGTGGACTACCCCTAACATTTAGGGGGATGAAAAATAGATGTTGGCCGATTCTCAGACCTACTCAATACGCTCACAAAATTTCATGAGAATCGGTCAAGCCGTTTCAGAGGAGTATGGGAACGAAAACTGTGATACGAGAATTTTATATATAAGATTTACATATATTTAATATGATTAATACATTACTTGTTCTATGACAATAAACTTAAAAGATGAGCATGCACATTTTATTTAAAAGTATACTTATTGGAGATAGTTTGAATGCGTGAAGAGCCGTGAAGATTGTAGACCAAAAGAGTAAGGTACAAAATTAGTTTTATGAAGAGGAGTTTGAAGTAAAAGAGAATCTTATTTACCTTTCAAATTACATAAAAAAATAAGTTTCAGTTTGTAATACCGTAAGTAAAAACATTGAAAGAAACAATAATCACATTTCTTATGAAGAGAGGGTTCAGCTAATTGTGCTTCACTTATGTGTACCGCGAATAAAGCTTATTTTACTCCGTGGGTTAAGTTATAAAAGATTAGGGAGTTTATTGTTTGCTATATAGTTTATATTGTGAAATTATTGTATACTAACTAGCTGTCCCGGCAAACGTTGTTTTGCCTTAAAATAAAAAAAAATTAGGTGTGGACTACCCCTAACATTTAGGGGGATGAAAAATAGATGTTGACCGATTCTCAGACCTACTCAATACGCTCACAAAATTTCATGAGAATCGGTCAAGCCGTTTCGGAGGAGTATGGGAACGAAAACTGTGACACGAGAATTTTATATATAAGATATAAATAGCTTAATTGCAGCAATATTCTGAGGCGATATGAATCAATGAGAGAAGACGATATACCAGTAAATCTACTTATAAAGGTAAGGTACGAAAACGCTACCGCTTCTAAATTGTTGCTCTAAACGAAAGTTTTTTCAAACAATTATGAGGGCGAGTCTCCACTCACTGTGACCGTAATTATTCTTTATGCCCATAAATTATACGGTTACCAGGATTCCACATTCCGATCAAATGGTACAACCATATTTATTTTAATATTTGTATGACGCCATGAGTATATATTTAATAAAGGAAAATGCTTTTTGGGAATCCATAACCGCAATAACAGTAGACCACTTACAATTGTAACGTCTCCGACTAACTGGAGAATAATAATGAGGCGATAAGCAATTCTCAAATCGGTATTTCTTAAATATAAAAACTGTGTGCGATCTTTTACAACGACGGTAACATGTTTTTAGGACTCTATAATTTATTAATTTCTTCTACTAAATACTAATATAAAAGTACCAGTAAATATAAATAATGCATAATTTTAATTTAACTGGGGGACAATAGTGAGTATTTTAGTATTTTTAAAACTTGGTTTTATTTTGTTTAAGTAATATATTCGATTTTAACTAATAAAGGCAAAAATAATTAAGATGTTTCCTTAAATCTATCAACTATTTTATAACTTGATACGAGTTATAGTCAATTATAATTAAGTTCTAAAAATACTGTTTACCAGTTACATTTGCAAGAACTGTATGACAGAATAGTGCCATTAATAGTTTATCAATTTTAAGATATACAATATTTTCAGAAAAAGAAATTTAATTTACCTATAATTGTTTAACATAATAAATTCATTAATTTATTTTTGAGACTTGTTAATTGTAATACTGCTGATCAGTTATAATTCTAATATCTACCTAACAGGAGGTCAGTGTTGTATCCATTATTATTTTTTAAATTAGAGATTTAATATTATTTCTTCAGAAAATATAAATATTTTACTTCTTGCGACGAAGTTTATAAGAAAGAAACAAACTATAAGAAGTTTTCTTAATCTTGCAAAATTAAAAAAAATTAAAACCTTTTATTTTTTCTCCATAATTGCATTACTTCTGACCAGTTACAATCAAGCTAACAATAACAGATCAATACTGACCGATCTGTAGTGTTGTTTATTATTTGTCAAATTAAAGATTTAATATTGTTTCGTTAGAAAAAATATTTTTTTGCCTTCTTGCGAAGAAGTTAATTTTCTTTCCTTAACCCTTCAACGTAACAACTTTATAACATGATAATTTTATAGCCAATTAAGGCATCCACGCTCGTTTATGTTCCATTTTCTTGTAAATTAAATAACGATCGTAAAGTCATGGCTGCCAGCGCATACGCTACTGTGCACCCGTAAAACTTGGTAGCAGGTAATAAAAAATCTCTCTATTTCTTGTTTCGTAGGCAATAAAATGTTTTTTGGTTGTTCAGTTACAAATTCACAGTTAAAATTACTTGTGGTTCAAACGGTGAGTGGAATTATACTTTTTATAGACACTATAGTTTAAATCTTTAGGTACGAAGTATAAAATATAGTCGCTTCCGCTGTCTGTTCGCTTAGATCTTTTAAACTACGCAACAGATTTTAATGCAGTTTTTGGCAATAGATAGAGTGATTTAATAGGAAGGTGTATATGTATAAAATATGTACACCAAGGCAAAGCCGAGGTAGGTAGCTAGTATTGAATAAAAATAAACTAATGACATTTGTTTTGACGATGAACATCGTGTAACGCTTTATTTACATAAAAAAAAATATTTTCCGCTTCTGCTTATAACTTGAACAGCAGTCAATTAATTATGCCTTATAATAGAATCCGCGATAGTGAAATGACATATTTTTAATACTTTTTCTGTTTTATGGCAAGTTTAATGTAATTTTAAGAATTTTGTCGTCATTAAAATTGTTTAAAGTATGATAGTAAAACTGAAGTCATTATTTTAAATTATATACCTCATTGCAAGCAAAGTAAGAAAAAGATTATAGTATCTTTTCTGCCTAGTTGGCGTTTGTAGGTTTTTTTTTATTATTAGAGGTTTATTATTTTATGTACTCGGGAGCAATTGTTTATCTTTGCGTCATGGCCGCAAGCATAATACGGTTTTTTTTTACTACATGATCACGTGATTAGTACTACAGGAATACTTTTTTTATGTAACGAATATGCCTGCTGACGGCCCATTTGATGGCAAGTGGTAACTATCACCAAGTCAACAATGTACATGAAAAACACCACTGATATAACCTTATCACTACGTCAAACGGCATTTTCCCTCCAATTTTAACAGACCACCTTCATAATTTTTTTCGAATCAGATGTTATTTTGCAGGAGTCCATTTCATTACTTCATGGATTTATATTATTTTGTAGACTAGTGAGTCGCAGTTTGGTCGCCGAACAGTCAACACTAGGCTTCCAAGCTATATCTGAAATCTATTCAATGTCTGATGACGCCTCGTTCAGAAGCAAAACACGTGTTGCAATATGGGTGTAGACTTAGTAACGGTCGAAATTTGATCACCAATAGAGAAGATCGTAACGCTTCCAGTAGCAGTGGTCAGGTTTCCGCACAGAATATTTGTTCTCTTACACATGCTAATGATAGCGGAATTAAACAAAAGTTTCCTGATTAAATGCTTACCTCGGAAATGACAACCTCAGATCTGCTCTCAGCTTGGTTAGCAGTTCACTTGGTGTGCCGAATTGACGCAGAGTCATTTCTTCTCCAACGCCCAAGCATGGGTTCCTACAACAATAACCATTAGTTACTATTAATTTTAGCAGAATTTTCAAGGACTAGTGGACTACCAATTCACTAGGTTTTGTAAAATCTGAAATGGAATTTGTAAAATATCTGTCTGAGTTTTTTACCTTTGCCTCACGTAGGGTCAGTAGGAAATATTTCCTTTTAAAGGATTTAAATTTAAAATTGGAACAGCTGTAATCTGTTATGTTTAACTTGTTTGTTGTGTTGTGTTCCATTTTTAAATATGTTAATGAAAGTAACGTCACAGAGCAATTAAGACTACATTTTATAAGGTATCTATATATTTAGTTCTTATGATAATTTAAAAAAATATATAATAATAACATTTCCAGACAATTTCACACAGCGTCATCAAATCCCAAGCTAAGCAGAGCTTGGGTACGAGACGACTAATACAAATACATACATAGATATTTTTTGTAATTACATACATATAATATAATATACATAGAAAACTATTAATAGACCAATACAAACAAACTCATGAATACATGTTTGTGCCGTGCGAGGAATCGAACCTGGAAGTAAGTTGATGGGCTAAACTGCTTGACCCTCGGTTAAATTCAATTTATGTGACAATCTATAATGGTTCTTAAAAACTCGTTTTTATTGAGATGAACAATTGTTTGCCGTTCTATAAATGACACAGTGTCATACAAAAATGCCAGATTTCCAGAATGATATGTTGTATGCATGGACTTACAAAAATTCCATATATACAAAGTATTACTCTGGCATGAGGATTATTGCCATTGGTATCACAAATAAGGAGGTCGTCAGTCTGTTTACCATCCTAGCTGCTTTAGCTCCGTTTTTTAATACTGCAAACTCACCTGAAATCTTTACTGCTTTGGCTGGGCAATGTCCTGGATTTGTTGCCGTCCTGTACACTCTCCGCCTCGTATAGGCTTCCACCACCAGTCTTTTTCCCCCATTTCTTCAAGGAGGTCGCGTAGTCTTCAGGGTTGTAGATTGGTGGACGCTGTTTGTCCTGGAAATTAAAAAGAATATTATGACGCAAGAAAAAGAGAGCAACGCTCCAAAAATTTTTTTGTGTAACCTATGTTGTTCTAACCTTTTTCTTAATTGTACACATTGTAGAAATGAAAATATACTGGCCCAGTGGTTTACACAAGAGGTTGCGAAATTAAAATTGGCCGACACCAAAAAATAACTTCTCCTGATTTATATTTCAGTCAGACTCTACGGCAAAGAAACGCCTAGTTTGAATTAACCCTCCCCCCTCTTCTATCTTCTACATTATCATCTACTTCTTTTTTATCTCATTTAATTAGAGTCGGCGTAATATGTTTTCTCTTCCATTCATCCCTGTTCGCAGTCATCTTGTTGTTCCCTCCCTTTCTTGCCACATCATCTTTCTTAAAGTCAATTCATCTCTTTTTAAGGCCTTCCTTATACCCTTTCTTAAGAACTTAAATATTAAGTAATTTACTTGGTATATACTTGGTCAATGTTTTAAATATGACTGATATAAATAAAAAGCACAAACAGATATACTCTTAAATACAAGTATTTGTACAATCGAATTCGCGATCATTAGAACGTAAGACGATATATAAATCATCTAATATATCATTTGCTCAAGTGTTGATTTTTCTCTTAACAAATTCTTAAATTAACTTAATATTTCATTATGTTAGATATACGGAATTGAACCCAACAAAGAAATAATCACCGCTAACTCGAGCGCCGTACTATATCATTAGCGCGGAATGTGATTATATTTTAGAATCCACGCGATCATCCGTCATGGCGTAACAATGGGCTCGTTATGACAAACCCGCGGAGAAATCATTTAATCAATGCTACCACATATTTTGTGATGACTTGTTACAGTGATGATACTTAGTTGGATGCTGTGCGCTGAGGGAAAGTTAGAATGACTCTTCACTATGATATTAAGTGGCGAAATATTTTGTGTCGTCGAGATCATGGTCTATGGAAGTTAAAAAACTATTATGTGGAGAACTTAATGTAACAGAACAGTAAAATTATTATGACTGTTTGTTTTGGGTTTTATAATTTACTATTTATTCACTATGATTTTGAGTGGAGAAAAATTTTGTGTAGTCGAGATCATTGTCTATGGAATTTAAAAAACAATTATGTGGGGAATTTAACAATGTAATAAAAACCAGGAACATTATTGCTAAATTTATGACTGTTTGTTTTGGGTTTTATAATTTACTATTCACTATGATTTTAAGTGGAGAAACATTTTGTGTAGTCGAGATCATGGTCTATGAAGTTTAAAAAACGATTTTGTGGTGAATAAATTTATGACTGTTTGTAGTGCATTTTATTATTTACTATTCACTGTGATTTTGAGTGGAGAAAAATTTTGTGTAGTCGAGATCATTGTCTATGGAAGTTAAAAAACAATTATGTGGGGAATTTAATAATGTAAGTCAGTAAAATTATTGTTAAATTTATGACTGTTTGTTGTGCGTTTTATAATTTACTATTCACTATGATTTTAAGTAACGAAAAATTTTGTTTTGGTAAAATCAGGGTCTATGGAAGTTAAAATTATTATCTGGGGAACTTAACAATTTAATAGAACCGAGTAAAATCATTGTTAAATTTATGACTGTTTGTAGTGCATTTTATAATTTACTATTCACTATAATTTTAAGTGACGAAAAATTTAGTGTTGTCGCAATCATAGTCTGTATAATACAATTTATAAGAGCACAGAGTGCATTGTACTGTACATAGAAATTAAAATACTATTATGTGGGAAATTTAATAATGTTATAGAGCCCTGAAAAATGATTGTTACTCATCACATTTTAAGTTTCACACAGGGTAGGATACCACAACACGTTAGTTTCTTTCAGTGTAATAAAAAATATCTCAGGATAATTCACAGAGTGTTATCTAGACCACAGATATTAATACATAGATATATTATTTTTTATCAATACATATTATATATATACAACACACAGGCCAATACAAACCAATCATATGAATACAAATATTCGTACCGTGCGAGGAATCGAATCCGCGACCATCGGAAGTAAAGTGGTGTGATTAATCGCTAGACCATTGAGGCCGTCAAATATACGTAATTAACGTCGCAGTATACACAAACCGCAGGTAATTCCAAAATAATTAGGAAATACAATTGTCGACTTAATACACTAATAAATAAGGAACGTTTTTAATTGGATCTGTTACATAAAAGTGTAATAAAAATATATTTTCATAACAAGAGTGTGTGCGTCAATTATGATCGAATTAACCAACGTTGGGTAGAAAGCATGCGCCGTATTTTCCTAGGTCAATGAACGGAACGGAGACTACTTACTACGCGACGGAGCGGCACGTCTAGTGTGAAATCTCCTTTACATTGTGGTATAAGTCATAAGAGTCTTGATGTTTTTAACGTATGACGAAAAAAAAATAAAATAAAAGGCAATCGAACGTCCGTATCACCAGGTTACCAATACAAGATGGAGTGGATGTTGAAATGTTAAACTGGAAAAAGGAATCAAAAATCCGAAATATAAAAAAAATGAAAACTTTTATAAGAAGCGTAATTTCATGATAGAACAGTAAAAATAAATGAAATAAATTCACACAGCAGCATCTAGTCCCAAAGTAAGCAGAGCTTGTGTAATGACTAGCTGACAGAAATACTTGAATACATCTTTTTTGAGTAATTACTTACATATTATACATAAAGACATACAGACAGACAATCATATTCATGAATTATTTTATAAATTGTATTTATTTTGCTTTATTGCACCTAAATTTAAAGGAAACATTAGAACATCTATACATAGTACAAAAAGAATTAAACGGATTTAAATGCAGTTTTTAACAATAGATAGAGTGATTAAAAAAAAGGTTTATATGTATAACACATGTACACCCATGCAAAATCGGAGCGGTTAGCAGTTAAAAATAAAAAAGGCGGTCTTACTGCTAACGCAATCTCTTTCAGATAACCTTTAGAAAGAGAGTATTTACATAAAAATTAAATATTATTTTATTGCACTTATATATATAGAACTAGCTACCCGCCCGGGCTTCGCACGGGTGAAATGTAAAACTTATATAATACGCAACTGATTTAGATCGAGTGACTCGACTCTATGTATATAGGGACGGACAGACAGCGACCGCGACTTTGTTTTATACTATGTAATGATAAATAACAACATATTAATAAAAAAAATGTAAACAAGGGTGTTAGCAATTAAAGTAGATATTTAATATTATTTATCAACTTTAATCCGCTTGCGCTTATGTATTGTACTCTAAAACAATTATAATTTCGTATTATGAACAAAATAGTAATAACTTTTGTTTCGTCTCAGATTTTATCATCTGTTGAACTTGATGTAATGGCGGACTCTTTTGTGGACGCATAGGAATTACTCGTATAGTTAATTACACATTCATAATAACAGCGTATGAATTTCTACCCAGATTGTGTTTCGCGAAAGAGAAAGGCGATCGTTATCTCTCCCTCTGGTTTTGATAATTTGTCTTCGTTTAATTACTATGCGGTTGATACGTAGATCGCAGGTTCAGTTACAAGATGTATTGTGTGGTTTTAATACATGATTAATTTGATGTCTGCTACTAACATTTACACGCGGCTTCGACTACTTGATTATGACTGTAGGTAATGCAGGAACGCACAGGGGCATCTAATCCCAAGCTAAGTTTTGTAAAAAATATCTAACTTAAAATTTATAGCGGTGACAATGTTACCTGATTGGACAAAGATTGCAACTCTCAAACTAAAGTCGTATGCGTCGGGAGTTGGCCTTCAGCCGCTCCATGAGTCCTTCCGCGGGTTAGGAGTGCCATCTGCACTCGCCCCCTATAGACCAGTGAAGCTGTAAAGGCCAGCGGCGGCCAACAGCATTAGAGTAGTTATAAAAAAACCCAATCTGTACTAGCATGATGGTGAAAATTGGTCCCTAATAACAATGTATGGTAAGCTACAAACATGTCAGAATGTATGTTCCCATAATTTGTTATGGCTACTATTTACTGCGTTTGTATGGATAATAAAAAAATACATTCTCACATTAAAACATCACTAATCATTTACTGTCAGAGATTTGTATAAAATATGCAAAATTGTGAATTTACGTTATAAACCATAATACAACACGTTAAAGTACATTGTTCTAGACACGAAATTAGACTTTAAAAATGACGATTCTCTCATACAACCCTGCATCATCCCTTTCAACCCTTTACAACCATTTTTTCTCATTAAAAAGTATCCTATGTCCTTTCTTAGGGTCTAGACTATTTGTGTATCAAATTTCATTTAAATGGGTTCAGTAGTTTTGGCGTGAAAGCTAGACAAACAGGCAGACAGAGTTACTTTCGCATAATATTAGTAAAGATTCCTATTCTTATACTGTGCTACCTATCTTTACTCAAAGCTTCGATTTCCCAGGTTGTCTGTAAGAGAGTTTTAAGCGATAAGGCTGCCTTTTGTTTAGTATATTTATATTGAGTATTTTAGTAAATATTTTATCTGTGCACAATCAACAGTTATATTATTATTATCATATTATTATTACAAACAGACACTCCAATTTTATTTATATGTATAGAACATATAAATAAAATTTGAGTGTCTGTTTGTAATATTGAAATAACCGTTTTGTACTACACGCGTATGAATATAAATACGGTACATACACCAAAAAACCACTTATTACAGTTTTTGTCTATCTGTCTATCAGTCTGTTTGTTCCGGCTAATCTCTGAAATGGCTGGACCGATTTTGACGGAACTTTTATTGGCAGGTGATGTAATAAGGAGTAACTTAGGCTACATTTATTTTAGAAAAATAAAGTTAAAGTCCACGCGCTATACGCCACGCTAGTATAAAAATAATTTCTTTAACACTAGTAAAATTCTTTAGCATATTTATATTATGTTTTTTCTAAATATTTTATCTGTGCGCAACAAATAGTTATATCTAAG